GCCCTGCAGTTCCAGAACAAGCCGCTAGGGGGCCCGAAACTCATATGACTTCTTTCCAAGCACGAGAGCTACCTTCCATCAAAATTTCATGACCCTAGCATGTCCAGATCGCGAGATAATGTAAAACACTGTAATTATAGAATTTCCTCATTAATTATGCAAATACAGTCCTCATTTGCATAATTTGCATTTAACTATGTACATCTCTCTCTCAGCTACCTACACACCAAAAATAATGAAAATATGTTGTTCCTGTCTGGACTTATTGGCTTTTAAACATTTCACCAGAAAGTGCCCTGCAGTTCCAGAACAAGCCGCTAGGGGGCCCAAACTCATATGACTTCTTTCCAAGCACGAGAGCTACCTTCCATCAAAATTTCATGACCCTTGCATGTCCAGATCGCGAGATATCAAAACCGGAAGTTGCGCTGCAGTACCAAGGGAAGCCACTAGGGGGACCAAAATCTCATCATTTCCAGTTTTCGTCACACCCTACCAACACACCAAGTATGAAACCCATCCATCCAGGCGTTCTTGAGTTATCTTGTTGACCAACAGACAGACGGACGGACGGACGGACAGATAAACGCAACTGAAAATATAACCTCCATGACACATTTCATGGAGGTAATAAAAGACTTCTTGCTTGTTAATCTGTGTCACCTCATTCAATTTATGTCCTAACATTTGTCGTCTCTTAGTATATTTCTAATCTAGGCATCTTGTTTTTTAGCGCCCTTCTTGTTTTTTTTTTCGCCCTCTCGCATTAGATATAGGGTCTCCAAAGGACGTCATCCATAAAATTTACTTGGTGTGGCCTAATATTGTTTTTGCGTCAGCCTCAGTACAAAGCCCCTGATGAAGAGAAAAGTTAATACAGCCTTTGGCACTAAGGGTTCATTCATCGACTGGTACAACGTTACATCAGCATTTCGTATTAGGTAAGTGTATCTCAACATTTATCCAGTTGTAGTAAAACGTTAAACTTTATTCCAACACACTATTTACAGGGATCAAATTTTCAGCGACCACTGTCGCCTTCATCAGGATAATTAATGACCAATCACTTCAAAACGTGATCTCGCGAGAGTTACGGTTTACAAACACGTGACCTTATTCACACGAGACTTTACTGAAACGTGACGTAAGCAATTGATCAAAAGTGCCAGGGAGTTTATATCGTCCACCATCTCTATTAAGT